CCGGGACAGGAGAGTGATGGGTTGGTCCTGCTTGTGCTCGGGGTACAAGCGGGCGTGTTTTCGTGGTACCCACTGGGGCATTGATTCGCTGAATCGCCGGGCTATCCTAAGACGGCTTGTCTGCGGTTTAGCATCGTAGTAAGAATCGAAGATGAAAGATGAAAGATGGAAAAGGAAATCGGATTGCTTACCACCGCTTGAAAATAGCACACGGTGCTTACATAGAATGGTTAGTTAATGAACCAATGCGGCTATTAATAAAAATCAAATATAAGGACGACGCTTAGTAATGCTTCCCGCAAATGCAACCCACAAGCCAGATAGCCTTGCATATCCTTGAGTCTTTTCTTTCCTCCCGTCGGGTAAGTCTTCTTTGAGTACAATTGAGTACTGTGGTTTTATTCCCCATTGCGGTGACAAAGTTGATGCTAGAGTGACCCTTGTGTGTGGATTCCTCCTGGTGGGCTCAGCGAGGATTCCTTTACGTCGCGATCGTAGTTTTTATTTATAACTCTCACCAAATGTTTTTATGAAAGTTTCATAATCTGTTGTAGTAGTTTATATAGCAAATACTTCGTCATATCATTAATAGATATTTATTTCTACTATAATTCTGATCACATGTTTAAATTCCGCTGTACATTAAATTATTTATAACTCTGATAATATGATTACATTCCGCTGTTATACAATAACTATTATACTCTAATGTTGTACTAAAAGGGATGTATGAAACGGTTAAGAATGATGTAAGCTTAGTTCTCTCATTTGTGATCCTGATGGCAAAAAATGTGGATTTTCGGGTTCTCCCATGGGGTGTGCCCGACGGAACCGAGTAATTTAGTGTTCTCACTTGAGTGCTTAGTGTCTAATGGAAGACAAGCACTCCTGTGAGGCATTAGATTAGGCGGTTCTGCTACACCAGCATGCCTACGTGGAGAAGCTACTGGAGCGCGACGGCATGGCAGAGTGCAAGCCGTGCACGACTCCGATGGAAGAGTGACTGAAGCTGTCCAAGCACAACAGACGGTGAAGGTGGACGCGACGCGCTACTAGAGCACCGGCGGTGGCCTGCGCTACCTCACGCACACTCGGCCGGATATCGCGTTCGCAGTCGGGTACGTCAGCCGATTCATGGAGGACCCACGCGAGGATCACTGGACGACGGTGAAGAGGTTGCTGCGCTATGTCAAGGGGACGCTCGATCAAGCGATCATCTTCCCCAAGCACGGCGGCAAGAGTGGGCTGTGCCTCACGGTTTTTAGTGAGGCATCCCCAAAACAGAGGAAGGTGAGCTAGAGCTCACGGTTTTCAGCGATGCAGATATGGCGAGCGACATCGACGGACGATGGAGCACCTCTGGTGTGCTCGCCTTCCTTGGAGCGGCCCCCATTACTTGGCAGTCGCTGAAGCAAAAGATCGTGGCGTTGTTGACATGTGAGGCGGAGTATGTTGCAGCGGCCACGGCAGCGTGCCAGGCGGTCTGGCTACACTAGCTGCTAGGTGAGCTGACCGGCGAGGAAGCTCACCCGCCAACTCTGATGGTGGACAATCCGCTCGCCATCGCCCTCACCAAGAACCCTGTCCTCCATGACCGGAGCAAGCACATTGACATCAAGTTCCACTTCCTCCGGGACTGCGTAGATGGAGGGCAGATCGTCATCGAGTTCGTCGAGACCGGCAGACAGCTCGCTGACATCCTCACCAAGTCACTCGGGCGTCTGCGGTTCATGGAGCTGAGGAAGATGATTGGCATGGATGAGGTCAAGGCTTAGAAAATAATGGCTTAGCTCAGCCATACCATAGTTGTTAAAGCTGATTTCAGCCATGTCCTAGAGGACATTGTAGTAGGTGTACTAGTGTACCTTAGGAGGTAGTAGTAGCTTATATATTCTATGCCAAGGCAATGGAGCAGAGTAGTTCAGTTTTGCCACATTCAGAAGCGAAGCTTCAGCCAGGGCTAGTGTTTGTACTGTGTGTTTCTGAGCTCAACCCCTTCTTCTACCTCTAGCCAAGTGAGTGAGTGTGTGGGTAAGCTAATTGCTTACCTATGCAGGTCAGCAAGGGACCAACACAAAGTGCAGTGGACCTGCAATAATAAGCAAGTAGTACTCAAAAAAGTCGAAAATTGTTCAAGAAATGTACCAGTTCAAAAATTCCTCTGTGTTTTTTTTACATCTCCATCAGCAGCAGTGGAATTAGTAAAGCAAACCAATTTTTAACCTTTTGTGGTGCTTGCATATTGAACTACATAATATTTATTATTTTGCGAAACATGACGACTGCTCATTATTCCTTTTCCCCTCTGCTAATCTGCTATGTACGCACACCAGAGCTTACTTGTGAATTGTGGTGCTTCCTTGTGAAGTAATCAACTGCCGACCATGACCCGTGATAGGAGATGAGGATGATGTGATCACCATAGTCATAATTTAGTCCACCAGCACCACTGAATGGAGAAATTCGAATTCGGTCCCACCAGTTAGAATCAATTTCAATATCTAACACAACATCACGCTTTCAAACCTTGCCAGTTTGTCAAGAATGGGGGTAAAGACAGTGATTTGAACATTTTGTAAACTCTGTGATCTAAACCTATCATATATCCAGATACGCATGCCTCATGTCCTATGTGTGCTCGCTGTTAGGAAACACATGTTTCCTGTGTTTATGCTTGTTATTACACGTCTGTGGTTCTGACTGAATTAAGGGCCTAAGTATCAGGATTTCTAATGAAGGCTTACGGGGTCCTGCAATTCTTCCACAGTAACGTGTTGTCATTGCAAATGTTCACGCGCTGCAGTGTGAACTGTTCTTCGAGACAAGAGTGATTGACTGAATCAAAGGGTCTGTTCGGCTGGTATTAAAGCCGACTAAAGCTGTTTTACTGTGAGAGAAAAATACTGTAGATTCTAACTGATAAGCCGGCCAATAAGTTCAAGCGTCTTTGTCAAGTGTGTGGAGAGAGCAAGAGAGGTATTCTGAGCTGAGAACACATACCAAAGAGCAGCGAAGGAAATATCTCTGGGAAGATGCCGACATGCCTTGGAGTAGTGGCGTGTAGCATGGTGACCGGCGAACCTGCTGCTGTTTGGATGACGACCTGCCCTGCCCCCGCTCCAACTCCCCAGTCTCCAGTCTCCACCTGTGGCGCATTGTCGAACGAGTGGCGTGCACCGCCTACTGTTTGAGCGCTGCAGCGAGGGCCGGCAGCCCAGCATAGCAGGACGCTCCGCCGTCGTCACTGGATGCTGGCCGTCGTACTCGTACCCGACAAGGCTCCCGCGCCTCCCTTGCCCGCTGCTCCACCATCCTAGGCCGGCCGGTCGGCACCATGCCCCCGCTCTCTCTGCAGTGAGGCGAGGACACGGCCTCGCTTGATTGGCGGGGCCGACACGGAGACGGGAAGAGAAGCGGTGCGAATCAGAGTGAGCCTCCCTAGTCGGCGGCGACTTCACGAGACTGACGAGAAGTCGGACACATATCCTCAGACAAACGCACTGCCAGGGAAGAAAAACGCATCGTGCATCAGTCAGCAATGGATACACCTCAACTGGCTGCTACCCGTGCTTCTGTGTGTCAAGAGCAGTGACTGACGGCAAGCAGAGTAGCAGACCAATCATTGTTAACTGTACAGTAGAACAAAATGTTTGCTCTTTTGAAATAGTGAAATCTGAAATTTCCATATGTAATGGAGATCAAACAAACGCTGCATGTTCTAAGGAAAACGCTGGGTCCGTCTGACAAAGCAGAGTCATGCATACAACCAAACGCTCAGCTCACCAATTTACTTCATGGCATCAGGTAGCAAAGGAAATTTGCGGCAGCTCGCTGGAGTACAGGCAGGATGGAAGTCGTGAGCAGTAAGTAGATAACGCACTTCTTCATGGGAAAGCAGAGGTCGAGGATTCCCCCATTGCCTTCTGGTTTTGGGCTGCTTACTTGATACATCAACTTCTGAAGTCGTCCTCCACAGGTATGGATTAGAACTTAGTAGAGCTGAAGGACTGAAACAAATTTGCCTGAAGGTGTTTCATCCACGTTTTCACCCATGCAGGTCGTTCATCTTGACTGACAGGCGAATCAAGGACTGCCAACTGTGCCAAGTGCAGTGGACCTGCAATGATAGGCAAGTACTCAGAAGTCAAAAATACACCCCACATTCAAAATATTCAAGAAATGGAGCAGTTCAAAAGTTTCTGTGTGTGTGTTTTTACATCTCCATCAGCAGCAGTGAAATTACTAAACTAAACAAATTTTTAACTCCTTGTGGTGCTTGCATATTGAACTACATAATATTAGTATTTTGCTAAACAAGACGATTGCTCAGTATTCCTCTTCCCTTTAGTGGCATCACAGCACACATCTATGTCAACTTGGGGAGGGTGTACAACTGAAAAATTAATCAAATCACACGGGCTTAAAGAACAGCACACAACTGAATCATATAATAGTATTCACTGTAGCTTGTGAGGCACAAAAGCACAAATGGAACCGTGTCCTCCACACCCTAATGATTAAATAAATGAAAGAGGAACATGCAATACAAACAAGAATCCCTCCTTAGCTCTAGAAAACCATGAATCAACACAAATGGACGATGGATCTGATCTACCTGAAACCAGAGTTCAAATTACCCAACTCATACATGCAGCAGGCAAAACTGTGCATGTACATGGAACACCACTACACTTACACTAGCAATAAATTTATTTAGATAAATCAGGAAATAGTTCAGTAGAGGATCTGCACAAGATGAATCATGGTTAGAGGTTAGCAAACTCACCAGATGAAGCGCTAATAGGGAGGCCCCTGGTTAGGTTAGTGCCCAGTGTGTAGATGAGGGATTTGGGAGATGAGGTGCCTGTCCTCCCCCATTCCTCTCTATTTTAGATAAAAGACCTCCCACATTCCTATCACAGCGGTGGACAGTAACAGATCACTTCATGCAGTGCATTAAAGCCATCACTTCATGAAGTGCATTAAAGCCAATCTGGATCTCAAATATCCAGATGATGGATGTGGGAGATGAGGTGCCAGTCCACCCCCTTTCCTCTCTTGCACCGCCTCTGCAGATCAGGGCACCCAAGGATCAGCAATTCCTTCAGAGCGGTGAGGCCTTTTATGCCCTTAGGCAAGGATCGTATTCCTGGGCAGTTACAGACACTTAGCTTTCCAAGGGAGAAGAGGCCTTTCATCCCCTGCGGCAACGATGTGAGGCCCGTACAGTTCCTGATTGAGAGCTTTTCAAGGGAGGCGAGGCCTTCCATCCCCTGCGGCAAGGATGTGATGCCCGGGCATTCAACGATTCCGAGCTGTTGAAGAGAGGTGGTGAGGCGGCAGATGGATTGTGGAAGGCAAGTCAGCTCTGGCAACTCTATAATCTCGAGTTTGCGTAGAGAGCAGAGTTCACCTAGGCAGTCGGGCATTTGGCGAAGTGCATTGCACCGTGCTATCTTTAGCAACTGGAGGGATGTGAGTTGACCCAATGATTGGGGGAGGCTGCTCAGGCTATCACAGGATTCGATGGTCAACTCTTGCAGAGACCCCAGTTCCCATAGCCACTCGGGTAGCACGCTGATATTATACCAGCAACACACTTTCAGGGACCAGAGGGATGTGAGGCTCCACAAGCTCTCAGGCAGCTCGGTTTGCACTCCAGAGAAGATAATAAACTCCAATGACTCGAGTGCCGTCATGTGTTGCAGCAGCTCCCACCCATGCCCAGATCCTAATCCTGTCACATTCAATAGTTGAAGCTCCTCCAGGTGGCTAAAACTGGGGGACCAAGAGGACCCCTGGCATTGGCTTGGTGACTGCAGTAGCTGCTCACTGTCCCACAACTTCAAGTGCTGCAGAGACGGAGGAAGGTGCGGCTTCACCTCCAACTTAGGACAATCACAAATCTCTAACTCTGTCAGGCAATTACCAACTTGGACTTGTCCCAACTGAGGGGTGAAATTGCAGTATCCTTCCACCTCTTCTCCATCAGGCATAATCCTCTCTGCTACCATCCACACCTCTCCCAGATAACGCAGTCCACGCATCCTTAACTTTACCAGCTGAAGGAAATGGGCCTCCACTTATGCTCTCAAGAGAAGGCATCCATTTAAGCTCAAGCAACTCCAAACAAGGCAGCTCCACAAGCCCATGTAGGTTCTTCAAGTTTGGGAAACCAATATAGCTTCATCACCCTCAAAAATGGGAAGGGGAGCAGGCCCCTGTACTCCACCACCAACTTGATTCTGCATCCACCGTGTATATTGCCTGCCTGAATACCCACTAATTTTCATCCCTTTAATCCCAGGTGGCGGTTCCAGACCATCAAGGACAGCCTGCTCCAACTCAGTGTTTACCTCTTCCGCATCATCTGCCATCCACTGTAGATCCAACCTCTGTAAGTTTGTCTTCTGTTTCAAGCATGCCAAGTGGGCAGCATTTGGCTCTATCACGTGTCCAATACCTCTAATTGTTAGTTTCTCACCGATCTCAGAAACATTTGCAAGCTCTGAGATTCCTGCAAAGAAGGGCAGGCCTGGTGCAGTGGTGAGAGCTGTCTCACTGAGTCACCAGGTCGTGGGTTCGAAGCAGCCTCTCCGCAGATTTGCGGGGGGAAGGGTTGCCTCGGTTTTTCCCTTCCCCAGACCCCACTCATGTGGGAGCCTCCGGCACTGGGTCTGCCCTTTTTTTTTTGAGATTCCTGCAAACTTTTCTCCCTTACCCACAACAAATAAGCCCAACTTTTGTAGTCGACTGAGCTGTCCAATGCCTATAGGCATTCCTGCCAATTTTTTACAACCTTCTAGGTTCAAAACTTGGAGCTTTTCCATGTTGCCGATGCCTTCAGGCAAATCTACTAGCTCCTGACACCTGTGTAGGTCCAAACACTCTAGATTTCTCAGCGTTGTGATACTTGATGGTAGCCTCTCAATTCTGGTGTCAGCTAGTCTCAAAACTCTTAGCTTTTCATTCCTGCCAATATAGTTTGGCAACATTCTCAGCATCATACAAAACGAAAGATTAATGCTTGAAATCATATGATAATCAGCAATTGAATCTGGTAAAAATTTTAGATTTCCACAGGACGATAGATTCAACGTTTTTAACTGTTGTAGGTTACCAATAGAGTTTGGCAAGGCTTCAATCTCCCAGCACATGCAAAGATCAATGCTTGAAATCATCCGACAATCACCATAGAATCTGGTAAACACTTTAGCTTTCGACACATCGATAGGTTCAGTGTTCTTAACTTCGTTAGCTTACCAAACGTTTTAAGCAAATCAAGGAGATCACTACAGGTGACATGTAGAGCTTGTAGGGTCCAAAAATCTGAAATGGCTTCCGGGAGTGCTTGACATCTTAGTCCTGAAATCGCAAGATATTTCAAATTTTTTACCTGGAATATGGCATTGGGCACTGCTACCAGAAACACATTTTCCATGGTGATACTACGCAAGGGTCTTGCGTCCTTCAATGTGTTGCCAAATATTGTATCATCACCCTTCTGATAAGGAGGACAAACAAAAATAGCACGTGCTTTTTTGAAAGTTTTTTTGGATGGAAAGTTTCCTGGTTGTTCCGTTAAAGAAAAGTATCTGTAGTTCATTGTGGCACTGGTTGCCTTGTTTGGTACAGCAAGTGAAATTTCATCTTTTAGTATGGACCGGGCAAGATCATGAATCAAATCATGCATCTTGCATGTCACTCTCCAATAACAATGATTTTCTTCCACATCCTGTAGAAAGGACATTTGTACAAGAGAATTAAAGCTCCTATGTCCATACTCCATATAATCAACACCATCTGCGCCAGTGATCATACTGTGAGCAATCCATAGGTCAATCAACTGTTCTTTATCAATATTGTGACCTTTAGGAAACAGTGAACAAATTGCGAAGCACTGTTTCAGATGAGAAGGCAAGTTCAAATAGCTCAACATCAAGCATGCAGATACTATACACCCTTTACCCTCAACATCTAATACATTGCTATCCCTCATGGACTTCCATTCTTGTATTTGTTCCATGCCATGGAGGACACCTGCAAGAGCTTTAATTGCTAGAGGCACCCCACCGCATTTTTTCACAATCTCTTTTCCAACCTTTACAAATTCCGAATCCAAACCTTCTGCAGGAATTACTAAGCTTTGCTGGAATAGTTGCCAGCTGTCATCTAGAGATAAGAATGGCAAATCAAATTGGTCTATAGATCGCACTGTTTCTGCAACTCTTCTACTACGAGCAGTCAGTAAGATCCTGCTCCCAGGTCCACTACTCTTGAGATGCACCATAAACTTTTCCCACTGAATTAGAGATTCAGTCCACACGTCATCCAATACAAGCAAAAGCCTCTTTCCAGTCAACTTGTCTGAGATTGTTTTGATCATAAACGGCAGGGCATGCTGTCCGGGATTATTATCAACAAAAGCTTCAAACAGTTTCTTGATGAGCTTGTCAACATCAAATTCTTGCGACACATGAACCCATAGTCTGACTTCAAAATGCTTCTCCACAATGCTGCAATCATTGAAAACCAATTTAGCTAATGTAGTTTTCCCAGAGCCACCAAGTCCACTGATGGAAATAGTCTTGATTACGTGTTTGTCGTCTGCTAGTTTAGATATTATTTGGTGCTTCTCTTGGTCTCTTCCGAGTACTGATGCCACATCTACAGTAGGCAATGTTGTCTGGTTAGCAGTAGTCTGACTCATATCACGAGCAGGATGACCAGCTAGCAAGCTATTTGCTATGGCATTAAATTCAGCTCTTTGCTTCACAATTGCATCAAATCACTTTTTGACTGCCTTGAGCTTGCTGGCTGCCTTGCATTGAAGTATGAGAGATTTTGGTATTTCGCACATATATCTTGGCATAACACCAGCAACACCATGGGCATCATGTTCGTCAGCCTTCAGCTGGAACTCATCAACAATGCCATCAACATCAAAGCTATATCTTTCAACTTTCTTAGCCAATTAAATGCTGGAGTATTTGGTGAAACTTTATCCCCTACTGCTTCCAACCAACAGTTGATCTCCTGAACTTGATCTTTTAGTTCTAGCAGATGCTTCTGGACACCAACTATCAAGCTGTACTCCTTGATCAGCAGTGGAGCTAGCTTGTTGCTGACAATCTTCAATATTCCAGATACTACAGCAGCTTCCATACCAATCCTTCTTTGTAAATGTCTTTTTCAATCAAACTTCCTCTGTGAATAGAATTTTGGAATCAGCATCTTTGTTGTAAAACATAAAGTTTCAAAATGAACTGTGCTACAACAGATTTTTTATACGTTGCAACTATAGTACTTTCATGGCTCTCCATGCAACGCGCTGTCAGTATTACTAGTGATATATAAAGACATCACAAAAGCTCATGCAACAATGGTTCATCATGTGGATCTGACCTGCGAAAACAAGTGTATACCTTTAGATTCTTTGTTGCTCAAGTGCTTCTTTGCAGGCACACCCTTACAGACTTCTTGTTGCCTACGGAGACAAAATGAAACGACATATATGTGAGTCTGTGACGGAGCAACGGCCATGGTATATTTCATTATGTCAACTGTTTTGCAGGAAACACAGCGAAATGGAGAAAGAGAACAAAGTATGAAAGCAGGGGATCAATTAATGATAGAAATATTAAAATATACCAGAGCTTGAATCACAGAAGAATAAACGGCGTCTTTCAGTTATGATGACTTACGACTTGGTGTTGGTCCTTGAGTACCTGTCCATACTCCATAGTTGGGAGAAAGACCAAGTTATTGTTGCGCAAGAAATTGCTAGTGAAAGCATGCAGATTGTGTACAAAACGGAACACAGATGGATGAACCTAGCAAGAGTAAAGAACAGAAGGAATAGGATGCTGCTGTATTATTGGTTGAAAGTAACGTAAAATACCTGGAGCTCAGATATGCTGCTGCTTGTGCTATCTTTAAATGCTGCCCTCCTTTCTTCCTATGCAACGTATGCAAAGCAGAGGTCTCTGGACCTCGGATCTACTTCTTTTGCTTGTATATCTCCAAATGTTGCCCTCCTTTCCTCCTATGCAACAAGGTCCAGTATGGCTAGTCAACAAGGATCTGACAGAAGTGCATAACATAAGGAGGTGGTTGAAGGTGTGGATATCTGACCTCAGAAAATTAGTACCTGTAGCCCTTCAGCCTGAGTCGTCACTGCTTCTGTATTTTATAGAAAAGACACTTGGAGCCACCCTTGTGTTCTTGTCACAAAAGGAGAAATGAATGCCTGCAGGTATTTCAAAACGAGAGCCTTAGAGCAGATCGATTTTTCCCCCAACGCCAAGGAAGAAGTTGATCAGTGGAAAGTGCAGTAGACTAAAGGAAATCAGAGCTCAAACATGATGCAACTTACACAAACCATAGCTTTTTAGGGAGCTCAGATCTACATCTTTTACTCATCCATCTAAAAATTGAGGCCCTCATTTTCTCCTTTGCTACATATGTAGAGTATGCAGTATGCACACCAGAGCAAGAAACAAAATTAAACATACAGGATATTAGATTATTCGTCATGAATTAAGTAAATATACTGGAGCTCCGGGATCTGCTAGCTAGGTACCTGGAGCTCCAAGCGTGGCGTAGCCCTCCTTTCCTGCTTTGCAACTTGATTAGTGAAGACACCCAGAGGGTGGATTGGAGCAAAATGACGTACGGCTTCCAGTTATTGAAGAACAGATTGGGTTGATCAATTTCTCCACGATGTCTTGTCACCTCAAATTATTGAAGCCATTAACTATGTATAGGCCCTGCTTCTTTGGCCTATAGTCTGCCAACACAGTACACACGGCTTCCAGTGCCAAAGGACGAGGAATACCTGCAGTCCTGGATCTCAGGGCTGCTGGGGCATTTGGGCTCAGAGCCGCTGGAGACGCCGGTCGCCGGGGCGTGGGCAGCGTAGGGCCGCGGGGGTCGCCGGGGCGGAGGAAGCCGGAGCGCCGACGGAGGAAGCTTCGGGGCAAAGAGGCATCCCGTGAGGTATACGGATAAGGTCACAGAGAAGAAACAAAAGAAAAGAGATAAAGGCCTGATTTAGATTTAGTTTTTTCACTCTCTCTCCATCACATCAAATCTTTGACACATACATGGAATATTAAATATAGATAAAAAAATAACTAATTACACAGTTTGATTGTAAATTACGAGATAAATCTTTTGAACCTAGTTAGGCCATGATTGGACAATAATTATCAAATACAAACAAAAATACTACAGTGTCAAATACTGATTCCCAACCATCATCTAAACAAGGCCAAAGGCAATATAGACATTTTATTTAAGATAGTTTAGAGGTTCAAACATTCATTTTAATTGAGCCGACTTTGATTTTTTTATTCTCGAATGACCTCAAGGTCCGTTCGCTTCGCTGAAGCCGAAATACTGTTCCAGCTGATTTGCTGTCAGAGAAAAACACTTTCAAGCTGAAAAACCAAGCTGAAAAAGATGGATTATAAGATAAGCGAACAGGGCCCAAATGTGGATATTGTCTGTACCAAAGCTCTAGTACTTAAACGTGATCTATAAACTTATAGTTGAAACTTTTTTTTATTTGGGATAGTTTAGAAGCCTGAAGGGTGGCCCAGTGCAAGTGGTAGAGTCTTACCGTCTATGACAGGAGGGTCCCGGGTTAGAGTCGTGATCTTCTCGCATTGCACAGGCGAGGACAAGACTTGCCACTGACACTCTTCCTCAGACCTTGCACAGAGCGGGAGCTCGTATACCTTTTATAGTTTAGAAGCCAAAGATTCGTTTAAGTTATCAGATTTTGAAATTCAAAATTTTAATTTTTTGCCTATACTAAACTTGTAGCCTTTCGTCCCGTTCGCTTGTCTGAAAAAAGAAACCAAAACACTGTAGCGACTGGTTATTGTAAGAGAAAAATACTGTAGCGGTTAGTTGATGAACAATGTTTTATGAGGAGGAGCAGAGCAGCCGGCTGCTCTGATTTTTTGAGACCAGCGAACGCTCCTTTTATGGGATATATGACAATTATTTTAGAGGTTTAAATATCATTTTGAAGCTATCATATTTTGAAATTAATATTTTATGATTGTGGATGTAGAAATGATCTACACCAAATCTGTTGCGTTCAGCGAGATCTAAAACTTTTTTTCGTTGATTTTTTTCCCTTGAGATCATTAAAATTATGAAATCTTTTATTAAATATTTAGGCATCTAAATGGTCTCAAAATGAAATAGATGTCAACTACAAAATTATAGATTATATTGAGCTTTATAATTTTAATATAAAGTTTATCTTCATTTAATTTCATATGAAAAGTTATGAATTGTTTTGATAGAAGAGATCACTTACATGTGTGGCAGCAAGACAAAACCATCCACAAATAATTTAGATACCTAGTTTTACAGGGTAGAGAGTAGCTAATTTTGTAGGTATAAGTGGATATACTGTAAAACGTGAGGGGTATGAACCTTTTTTCTCCCCAATTCCTCCATCACTGACGGCGGCGGCGGCGGACGGCGCTGCGCTGCGACGGCCGAGTAAGGGGCATATTCCCTTCTCCTCGCCACAGTGGAATTTCGTCGTCCCGTCCTCGATCTGTCTGCAGGCTTGGATCGTGGCGGTGGAAGCTCCCTCATTCAGCCTAGAGCACCCTGCCGTCCATCCCGTCAAGAAGACCTGACCACATCCCTGCAGCTGCCGCGGACGCGCCCGTCCATCCGGCAGTACACAGCGGCGCTGAGGTATGCTACGAGCCCTACTCTTCCCTATCCTCTCCTCTGTTAGATCCACGAGGTACACTGTAGCTCCAGATTTCCATGTATGTTGATGCTAGTCTAAGGATTATTTCCTGGAATGGGCATGATTGTTTTCATTCATAACACTAGTAGGCATTGTAACGAGTAATTCAAAACTTCTGCTTAATAAATGAAATTATGAAAAAAAAAACCATCCCCAGTCTAACGAACATTGGCTAACGCTACAGTATGATGACACTACTTCACTGTCCCTTGCTACTACAACTAATTCAGATACTAGGCCAATCATTTGATCAATGCAATTTTTATAGACTGAACCTGTTAATCACTTCATTTTCATAGGTGCAAGATTATTTATGAAGTGACTGTTTGAATTTCTGCTTGTTGAGGTGGAGGACCCTGGAAATCTCATCAAGCTCTATACAGACTGGCATCTTTGGGTCTATCACTATCAAAGGTACTCCAGATTTCAAGAGTCTGCTACCTGCTATCCATCTTTGTGATTTTACAATAGTCCAGATACAGTGTGCTTGCCACCTGTTTTCCAGTTCAGGCTGTAGCCTCCCCTTCTTACTTGTACACAGATTTACTAATTACTTGTACACATATCTGAGTATATGGTCTGCACTGAGGTAGCATATTGTTATAAATCTAGATAGTTAAGCATATTTATATTATGAACATTCTGTTGTACCCTATAGTATGCGCTAAGGTAGCATAATGTCATAAATTAAGAGCTTAGTCATGCGTGTTGATGTTTGGTCATCCTCATCCGTTGGTGAGCACTGGCCAAACCGTTTCAGTTCCATTTCTATTCCTAGCTAATAATAACAATTACCTAACATATGAACCTCATTAACTGTGCAGGTATGTGGATCTTCCTTCGCTGCTAGCACAGTAGTCTATCTCAACATAGCGTAACTCAGTCTTCCTTTGCAAGAAGGCATTTCCAGCCAGTAGTAGGTAGATATGTGATGGTGATGATCTGGTGCCTCTTTTCCTAAGCAGTGGCTTCCCCTCTTATTTGTACTGGTGTCTGGTGGTAGTGGGGTGCTGTTGCTAGTCATGGTTCCCTCTGTTAATTTGTCTGGCTGCAGTATTATTATCATTGGCCCTGTTCAATGGATGGCTTAGTATGCAGTTGGGATGTTTTGAGAATTAAGGTTGCGCTTTCGAGGTACTGCTGCCTGATGGATCTGGAATGACAATGGTGCCTTTTCTATCAGCTTGGTTCAATGGTGTTCTAATTGTGATTTTTGCATTGCTTTTTGGATAGTTCATTGCTATTTGTAGGAGTATATGGCATTTTTGACATACATATCACGTGCCTACTGGTTGCCTTCCTGGATTCATTGTGAAATTTTGGTATGTCTTCAAATGTTAAATTTCTGGAGGTGGTCAGTGTTGCCTGCTTGTCATTTCTTTTGCACCTGTAGCTTTGTAACTTAGGTACTTCTATATCTTATTAGTTACTGATGATTGCACAGTATGTAATAGTTATTAGTTACTGATGATGGTTTTTAACTCCAGTTGCTGATGATTGTGCAGTATTCAATATAGTTGTGCAGTATGTAATAGTTATTAGTTACTGATGATAATTGTGTTTAACTCCAGTTGCTGGCTATTGTTGGACAGGCCCAGAATCTTATTAGTTACCGATGATGGACGTCCTGCCGGACGGCATCCTTGTGCACATCCTCAGCTTCCTGCTAGCTCCAGAGGCCGTGCGGACGTGCGTTCTCGCTCGACGCTTGTGCCAGCTCTGGAGATTCACCACGTGCCTGCATGTCGGGTGCCGCCATGAGGATAAAGTGGCACCGGTGAAAGAGCACCGCGAGTTTTTGGACCATCTACTGCTCCTCCGTGGAGGTTCACCTCTTGACGTATGTTTTTTTTTAAGATAAATGATATTTCATATCCGGCTTCATCTATCAACTGATAGAATCAGACCAATTATTACAAAGATCCGGCCGAAGGCCCACACTCCAACTTCCAAAAATTCAAGTTTACATGCAACCGAGCAAAAAACTGAACGAAATAAAGTTTTGACTAAGCATGACCAATATGTCTTGTTGACAACCACCCATTCGAACCAAAGAACTGCAAAGCCGACGATTCTAGATGCTATGCAGCTAGTGTGAGCTGATCTCGTAGATCGTCATGCCGCTGCAATCTTGCCCATTGGCGGAGCCAGTGCGTTCCCCTGAAGAGAACCTGCAAAAAAGATTTTGGTCTGCATTTGTCAAAAACCACCTCGTTCCGCGTTATCCAGACTGCCCAACAAAGTGCAGATGCTGCTGTTAACAACAATGAATTATACTTATTTAGCAATTTAGACCATCTAATGAAAAGGTCATCCATATCACTAGGCGGCGAAATTCCAAAAAGAATATGTACAGCGCGCCACAAGAATTTAGCATAAAAACAATTAAAAAAAAGGTGTTGAATGGTTTTCGGAGAATGACAGAAACAACATTTTCTGTCACCATTCCAGTTACGTCTAGCCAAGTTATCCTTGGTTAGAACCACACCTTTTTTTAGATACCACAGGAAAACTTTTATCTTCATAGGAACTTTAATTTGCCATATATCTTGTGACACCCTTATCCCATTGTTAATTAACGTAGCGTACATGGACTTAACTGTAAAACTTCCAGATGCATTAAGCCCCCAAACAAAAACATCCCTTTCCTCCTGTAAGTTAACCTCATGTAAAGAAGCAACAATTCTATGCCAGTCCCTTAGGTTTGCACCCACCAAGTTTCGACGAAAAGAAATATTTAGTGTGGGTAGGCTAAGGACTTGAGCCACAGAATCTTGTTTTCTTCTTACAATATTAAACAACGAAGGAAATTTGTCTTTAAGCGGTTTATTTTCCAGCCAATTGTCTACCCAGAATCTTGTTTGTGTCCCATCTTTTACTCTAAAAGAACCAAAGCCCATAAAAGAGTCTTTGACATTCATTAAACTTTTCCAGAAATGAGAGTCTGTTGGTTTTTTGACACAGCTCCCTAAGGTCTTATCTTTGATGTATTTGTTTCTCAAAAGTTCTTGCCATATCCCGTCTTCATTTAATAATTTATAGAGCCATTTACTTAGCAGGCACTTGTTCTGTATATCCAGATTGTGTATGCCTAACCCGCCCTGATCTTTGGGTTGACATAAAATATCCCACTTGGCTAATCTATACTTACGTTTATGTTGGTTATTTTGCCAATAAAATCTTGATCTGAAGCAGTCTATTTTTTCTAGTACACCCTTCGGTAGTTCGAAAAAAGACATCATGAACATCGGTAAACTAGAAAGCACCGAGTTTATCAAAACCAAACGTCCACCCACCGACAGCAATTTTCCTTTCCATCCACTAAGTCTCTTTTCGATTCTGTCTTCAATTATCTTCTAGTCTTTGTTGTTTAGCTTTCTCATATTCATAGGTAGACCAAGATAACGGAAGGGATATTTACCAATCACACAACCAAACAGCTGCGAATAAAACACTTCATGATCTTTGGCTTTGCCAAAACAAAAAATTTCACTTTTGTGAAAATTAATTTTAAGCCCTGATAGTTGTTCAAAGGTGCTAAGCAAAAGTTTCATATTTACTGCCTTTTCAACATCATGGCTCATAAAAATCACTGTATCATCCGCATCCTGAAGGATAGACAGCCCATCCTGAATTAAATTGGGAATCACCCCCTCCACCTGCCCTGCTTCCTTTGCTCTAGCAATCAGTATGGCCAACATGTCAGCCACTATATTAAATAGTACAGGTGACATGGGATCACCTTGCCGTAAGCCTTTTCTTGTCTGAAAGTAGGAACCTAATTGGTCGTTAACTTTAATATTAACATTGCCCCCCTGTGTGAATTTTTGGACCCATTCGCACCACTTTTGTGAGAATCCTTTCATCCTTAACGTTTGTTGTAAAAAGCTCCATTTAACCTTATCATATGCCTTTTCAAAGTCTATTTTGAAAATAACCCCATCCTGTTTTTTCGTATGTAGTTCATGTAACGTTTCATGAAGTATAACCGCACCCTCCATAATATTTCTTCCTGGGAGAAAGGCCGTCTGTGTTGGTTTTATTATCTTTTGGGCTATGGTAGATAATCTGTTGGTTGCGACTTTAGTGAAGATTTTGAAAGAAACATTCAACAAACAGATAGGCCTGTATTGTTGAATAACTTTCGCATCCTTCTTTTTAGGTAATAAAATTATGGTTCCAAAATTAAGGCAATTCAGTGGTAAGGATCCCAGATGAAAATCCGTGAATAAAGCCATCAGATCGTCTTTTATAAGATTCCAGAAGACCTGATAAAACTCTGGAGGGAAGCCATCTGGACCAGGTGCCTTATTATGCTCCATTTGGAATATCGCAGTCCTCACTTCCTCTTGCGAAAAGGCGGCAGTCAAATACTCATTTTCCAGATCAGATACCTGAGGGATGTCATCAATTTGTGTCTCATCCAACATGATGAGAGAGTTCTCTGATGGGCCAAACAGATTCTTATAATAATTGGTAATATGCCCTTTGATTTGAGCATCACCACTTATTATACTGTCTCCATCCTCCAGCTGGAAAATACGAGTTTTTCGGTGTTTACCATTAGCTAACAGATGATAATATTTTGTATTCGCATCCCCTTCTAACAGGTATTTGACTTTAGCCCTTTGGTACCACTTGAGTTCCTCCTCTCGGAGTAACTCTGCCGACCTTTCATTTAACACATGTTTTAGATCTAGCTCTACCTGACTAATCGAAACAGTTTCTGCCTTCTTATCTAGCTCATCCAGTTTATTTAGAATATTCATTTTTTCTTTCTTGTAAGCACCACTCACACTCTTTGCCCAACCTCTTAGGTATTGACGAAGCCTTCTAATTTTAGCTTGCCACCTTTCTATAGGTGAGCCCTCAACTAGTGTACTCTGCCATACATCCCTCACCATTTCACAGAATCCATCTCTCAGCAACCAGCCCAATTCAAATTTGAATTGAGGTTGATAAGATGAGGACAGATTATTTGTCGAAAAAAGGAGAGGTGTATGATCATATATCTCTCTAGTCAAAGCAAGCACGGTGGTAAGTGGATACATAGTCTCAAAGTCCGTGCAAACTAGGATCCTATCTAATTTTTCGAAGGTTTGATTCTGTAGGTGATTAGCCCAAGTAAACTTTCTTCCTGACATTTCTATTTCTCTGAGATTTAAAGAGTCAATTACAGCATTAAACAAGAAAGGCCATCTATCATTATAATTATCATTATTTTTCTCATCCGGTCTCCGAATAATATTAAAGTCGCCACCTATGACTATAGGTAAAGCTTCTTTAGAGCATACACGTACTACTTCGGATAAGAATTGTGCTTTATGATCCATCTGAGCTGGCCCGTAAACCGAAATCAGATTAAACTTATAATCATCTTCTCTATGTCTAACCTTGAAGCGTATTAAAAAATCCCCTTCTTTAATTTCCCCAATGTCAAAAGATAATAAATTTACACCTAGAAGCATACCACCAGATCTACCCCGCGGAACCATACAATGCCACAGAAAATCTCTGCCTGCACAAATATTATTCAAAGTGGATTGCGGGAATTTGGCTCTGCCAGTTTCCGATAAGGCAATGAAATCTAAGTTTTTTCTTTTGTTAGATCTGAAAGGAATCTATATTTTTTACAATCAGCAAACCCGTTGCAATTCCAAAATATACCTTTCATCTAGAATGACACTTGTTTTTTTTCTTCTTTTTAGGGCGTGCATTTTTCTTCTGTGATACAGGGATCTGTAGACACATAGGGTCACAGCCCCCATCACCTAGCCCTTCCGAAATTTCTGAACATATTTGATTTAAAGCATCTAAGTCTATGTTGTCATCATTGGAACAAAACGTGGATGCATCCTCTACCACAACTTTGTTTTCCTCCAAAAGATTTAAAGACTCATTCATTCTATTAAATTCTACATCCCTTAAAGACTTTAAAGAATTCAAGATATCCTGATCATTATCTCCTAGAACCACCCCTAAAGATTTAGAAATATTTAATAAAGATGAATCATCGCGAGAAATAAAAGAGCAAGGTTGTGGTTGTTTACCTTTGTCTGGCTCGGTATCCAAGTTCTTTCTCACCTTCAAATTTGATGCCCTTTCCACTGAATCTTGATCCGCATTTGTTGCATTCCTCTTGCTTGATCTCACAGGGGGCATTGTCCCACCATTTTGCAATTTCAATTTATTAATGAGCCCAGAGTCGGTTTGTGGAGGAATCAGATTAGCCTTTCACTGTCCATTGCCATTTGAGAACAACTCGTTCTGAGTGAGCACTATCACTGATTTGTTACTTGCTTTTCCTGATTTGTTTTGCTGAACCACAGAGCCAGCACCATCTTCCTTTTGCTGGACAGCCCCACTGTGCTGACCGGAATTAGGTAGCTGATTTCCAGGTGCACTATTAGGATCCTGGATGTCATCTTTTTTGCCATCCACATCCATGTCCTCATTGGGTTTTCCCCTATTCTTTTTATCCTCCTTAGGATTTTCATCATCCATGGTAGAGTCCATGTCGATAACCTCGGGCTCACCATTAGTCATATGTTGCTCAACCCTGAATTGCAGCTCGTAAACGAAATCCCCAATAACCACATCCACAAGGTCAGGGATGAGATTAGGATCAAGCACGGCTAGCTTCATTCTTGATCTACCAAATTTCTTTGTAAATTTAGTATCCACAGCTCTTGGAACACCTAAGATTGAGCCAATTGCCCAAATAATGGGAAATTCTCTAAACTCCTTAGGTAGCCCTCGGAACTGCACCCAAACCTTATCAATCTCATATTTGTAGACATCATTTTCAACTCCCTTTTCAAAGCGAATTTTCCCTTTCACTGATTTTGTGTCCATGGTACCCCAGTTCACCATAGTATCCAGTAGATCAGAAGATGGGAAATTAGTGATGAAGGCATCTTTGCCTTTCTCCTCAATCACCCACTTGTTTTTACCTGGTAGTAGTTTTTCCAGTTCCACTGCCAACTGGTGAGCAGTAAGAGAACCTTCTAAAACACGTACCACTGCTGATTTTTCCTCTAAATTTACCTTAGGATTCTCGGCAACTGGAATGAAATAGAAACCCAAGCCTTCTACCGCATAGCCACATGGTATAGCAGTAGAGTTCATTTTTTTTTCATATTTGGGCAAATTTTAGTGACATGATCACCACAACATAAATCACAATAAAGAACCGCAGTGCATTCATGTATGGTATGACCTTTAGTATGGCAACGATAACAAAATGGTTTACCCTTATTCTTTTGCCCTCCATGATGAGATGAGTTAGGTACTTCGTTAGCCACAGCTTGGTTTGCAATTGGTGGGACTGCTGCCTTCTGCGCCTCTGGAGTCACCTGCGTCGTTGCTGCTGCAGGAACTGTTGTCAAAGTAGATCCAGTAGCATGAGAGGGCACTGCCCCTGTGGTATTGGGAGCAGCCCCCTGCTGTACTGGTTCCTTCCCCTGCCCTCTCTCCTGCGATGCCCCCTCCTGGATGACTGTGTTGGGTAGAGGATGATGCTCTCCCTGTCCGGCCAACATGTGCCCCATGACAGCCATCCCCATCTGCTGGCTTGCGAGAGGAGGCTGCCCTCCCACGTTGTTCAGATGCTGGGGATGGCCGGCTGGCACAGGCTGCGGCCCCATGATTTGATGTTGACGAGGCCGGCCGGCCCTCCTTTGGTCTTTGGCTGGTGCTAGGGGACTGTCCCCGATACACAGCTCTTGATGTTTAGAGGGTCTCTGGTCATGGTTTTCTTCTCAAGCATAGGTGATTAGTTCCAGTCAGTAAGTGGAGGTGTGTTGGTGTTGTGTTTGTGGGTGTGGGTGTGTTTGGGTCTCTGTATGACTCCTTTCTCTTCTATTAATACAATGATACGCAGCTCTCCTGCGTATTGAAAAAAAAAAAAAAAAAAAAGGCCGGCCGTGGTTCCAGCCACCGCGACCTCGCCCGCCACCGAAGCCTCCGCCATATGGTCGACCAACACGACCGGCTCCATGGTAGCCCGAGTTGTAGCCGTAGCCATTGTATCCGAAACCACCATGAGCATTGTGTCCACCTCCATGGCCACCAAAGCCGCGGCCACGACCACGCTGCTGGAAGCCGTGGCCTTGCCCTCTTCCACCAAAGCCAGGGTCAAAACCAGGGTTGACGTATGTGAATTCGGATTTACTGGATTCGAGGATGATGATGTGCCACGGGTGAGTCTCTGGTTCCGCCATGCCATGATGTGCAGGGTTTGAGCGCTCAAGCTCCATATGTTTTCCATGTTCTATCTTGTGCTAGATAACCTGCCTCTCGTTTCTCAGCACCTGACGAGACTGGACCTCTGTGGTGTACAACTCCACAGCAGTTTTCTCAACTTCTCCAGCTGCCCGGCCTTGGAACATCTATAGTTGGTTGACTGTGGTCTCTCGACTGCCAACAAGATCTCGTCCAAGTCCCTAAAGCATCTGAGCTTGACTGATTGCGGTTTTGATTCTGTTAACAGCGTTTGCATTTATACCCCAAGCCTGGTTTCACTGTGTCTAGATGACCTCTGCGAGACGACTCCCACACTTGACAGCATGCCATCATTAGTGAAGGCCTTTGTCCGGATAACCGAGGAATGTGCGGATGTCTGTGCAAAGCTGTTAGACCCAGAAATTTTGGATTGTATCTGCCAATTGTGCAACAGTTCTGAGAACACTGATGGCAGTGGTAGCTCTGTGGTCCTAAGAGGTTTATCCCAAGCTAAGAGCGTGGTGTTGATTTCTGAACCAGACCAGGTAAAGTTACACTTTGCCTCAATTACATTATTAATAACTCTATATGCCATCCCCATATTTATGCTACATTGGCTACATTATTGCATCTTTTTGTCCAGATTATATTCAGAAGTTATTTGAGATGGTGCCCCATCTTTAACAATCTGAAGGCTTTATTTCTCAATGACTACTGGTGTACACCTGACTTCAACGCATTAGTCTGTATTCTTGAACACTCACCGGTTCTTGAGAAGCTTACACTTGAACTGTTTTGTGAGGTATGTTCTTTATAAATAATGAGCAATTGCTTCTCTGCAAATGAGAATAGTTACACCACTGAGTGATCTTGGGAAAAATGATTTATTTCACTGCAGGGACCTAAGTATAAAATTGAAATGAAAGGAAGCTTGAATCTGATGGAGCTATCGGCTAAAATTTCAGAACACCTTAACATTGTTGAAGTCAAGTGTCAAGATGTTGATGAGAGAGTTCTCAAAGTGTTGAAGTTCCTTTCTACCATTAACATATGTAAGCTAACTTACAACTTTCCTGGTGCTTCTATCTGAAAGTTCACTACAAAATTATTGACGAATAAACAACCTGCACTGTGAGACGTACATTTAGCTGGCAGATAAAATCACAAAAGTCTGAACTTTCACATGCAGTTAGTAAACTACATGTCAAACAATTAGTAGACTTTTGTATTCTAATTCGAAGTTGAGATTGTTGTAGTGTCATAATTAGTAAACTACATGTCAAACAGTTAGTAGTTTTTTTTTTCATTCACTGTCAGGTTAATTGAACATATGACAGTTAATTGGATTAGCCAGCAGTTGTTCATGCAGTTTTAAGATTCTGTCAAGTTACTGATTTTTCTATTCCTATATATAACAGTTAACTCTGGAGTTATTATAATTTCCATTTTTGTACAGATTTTGGTGTCTTAATTGAGGCACTATAAAATTCGGGCTGTCAAGGGATCTACTATCTTTCACTGTCACAAAATGTAAGGCTGAAGTTGGCTGCAACAAGGTTGTCATCTCTATGACTTTTATATACAGGTGATTGGGTGTGTTATGTCAGCTATAGACTTGTAGTTATATGAATTAGCCTTTTCGCTTGTTAGTTTCTGGGCTGATAAGCCCGGCTGGTGCTGGTTTGTTGTGAGAGGAAAACACTGTATCATGACAGATAAGCCTTGGCTGAAACCAACAAGCGAACAGGCTGAATGTCTAAAAAATGGCAGCATAAATTGTCAGAACTTTAACTATCAGTAGTTGGATCGGGCACATCATCTCGCTGTGATTTCTTTCGCACAGAGATCACGAGGGTTTGTTCGACAATTCTGGACCAATTAAATTAATGTGCCTTTAGTATGTATATATAGTTCGATGCAGAGTCGAGCTGATAACGTGACCTCTTCTCTTGTAGCATAATCTGTTCACATCACTCTGTGTTGTCACTCTCTGTTGAAATGCACATGCCGTAGCAAACTGTAAAAGCAGCATATGGTGTACAGCTGTAGCTGCAAGTGCGCATGGACCTGGAAGCATATGGTGAACAGCTGTTGTAGAGACTGGGGTGGTGTTTGATTGCCCCCTTCTAAATTTTAGGGAGTGTTTGGATCCAGTGACTAAAATTTAGTAGGTGTGTCGGGAGGATGTTGCATGGGGTGTTCGGATACTAATAAAAAAATAAATTACATAATCCGTTAGTACTCCATGAGACGAATTTTTGAAGCCTAATTAATTTATCGTTAGCATATGTTTACTGTAGATAATGTGTGCTACAGTAACATATGCTAATGACAGATTAATTAGGCTTAAAAAATTCGTTTCGTGAAGTATTGACGGATTATGTAATTTGTTTTTTTATTAGTATCCGAACACCCTATGCAACATCCTTCGGACACACCTCTTAAATTTTAGTCACCGGATCCGAACACCGTCAGAAGTTCCCCTACCCAGTCGAGCAGTGCAGCATGAGAATAGCAGAGCATGCGAACAGGGATTGGCCTGGCAATTGCAGCAGTTGCTCGCTGCTCTCGGACAAGTGCAGGTTCTCCGGTGACAAAGGCATGTGTGGCTTGACCTTCGAGTTGACAACGCTTTAAGCCTTGGACGCTGAAGCAACACGCTGCTCTTTCCGACGGCAAAACGGCGGCACATTTCGTCGAACGGGGTGGGAGCGCACTGCTCCGTCCACCATTTTCACAAGTACCAAAAGAAATTTACATATCTGCTTGTTCTGAGGAGTTGACTTAACATGCCCCGGTGGAGTATTACGGGTGCAGTTCAGTAGACTCCTTCACGGTATCAAGTAGCAAAGAAATCTGCATCATCTCGCTTGAAATACAAGATGGACGAAACTAGTGAGTAGTAACTGAGGCATTTCTGATGTTCTTCATTCGCAAAGCAGGCAGAACTCGAGGATGCTTCATAGCTTTTGCGTTGGTCACTCGGTATATCAACTTCTAGATTTCTTTCCACAGGTACAGGTTCACTAGCGTCAAAATATCCTAAACATGATAACTCCTCAGATCCTTTTAAATTATGTAGTAGTAGCAACAGAGCATGCTGTTTATCCAAGTTAATTTTTGGTGCTCAGAATTTCCTCGGCTCGCAATATAAATAGCGCATAATTGAATCATGTGAAGAACAGATGTGCTCTCCAACTAAACAAGAAAATACTTATGTAATATGACCTCAAATGAACATAAACAATTAAATATATATATGTGTCATATATGTAATCTGTTCATGGGAAAGTAAGTTTAAGGGTCGTAGATGTTAAGTAAACAAGTGTCAGAGATGCTTTTGATGTACTTAAAGGAGTTTAAGTGTAATTTTTGTAAGTGAACTTAACCTTAATCCGAACAAGACATAACCACTTAGTACTTAAGGCCATTTTTCAAGACTCCCATGTGTTGAAAATAGTGTGGACAATTTTCATCCCTATAAAACTCATTTGATCTCATGAAATTTTCATCATCTCTCTCTTCATCTATACTATGCCATGTAAACTTATTTAATGCCCATAAAACTCTCGTGAAACCGCAATTGAGACTTGCCTAACAAGGCAGAAACACTTTAACACATATATGTGACATGCCACATATATCTTTAGTGAAACCAAGTACTATGTCATTTATACTTAAGTGTGATATGTGCTTGATTGAACTTGATCAAGTATAAGTCTCATATGTGTTAGTAAACTTTAACAAGTCATAACAAGATATAAACTTTGAAGACAAGAATGCCACATTTAATTACTTAGCAAGCATTTCCTTGCCTGCCAACAATTTCCTTGGCAGTTCACCTCAACCTCCAACGAAATGGGTGGTTTCCTTAGAGGTTCAATGAAACCTTCCAGCGCCTAGAAGTGTCTTCTATGGCCTCCAGCTCTGTCCCAAGCTTGAGTCCTTTGGTCAGGATGCTATTGTCGACTCCAGAGCACGATAGGGCCCTCTGAAGTCCATCTCTGTCTCGAGCATTGGTTCCCAATGCTTCTCTGGCTTTGTACATCGCTTCATCAAAGATAGACCTGGTATCAATGGAATTCCCTGGAAGCAACTTTGGGACATTAGACATCAGATATGTGCAGTAGCATGATAATTTGGTTGCGACTTCATGGTTGTCATAGCAGGGAAGCTGCCTGCTTCTCAACTCTGCATCGTCACATATTATTCTGCAGTAATCAGTTGCAATGTGCCAAATAAGCATGCTTTCTGTTTTGAGTCTCATTCTGCAATGTCCAAGAAAACTGTTGGAGAAAACCGTTGCGCTGCAGTGATGCTTTCCCATTGGTCAGATGTCCATCGCCGCTAAACTTCAGAGTGGAAACAATCTGAGGCTTCAGCTTATCAGGTAACTTGACAAAGAATGGTCAGATGTCCATTGGTCAGATGTCCATTGCTTTCCCAGTGATGTTTTCCCATTGGTCAAAATGCAAACCTTTTGTTGAAAATAGATTGCCCAAAGATTGACCTAGATAAGCAATGGCCTTGGAAAAAATGAACATGGACAGAGTGGTTGATTCAAAGGCAAAGTCTTTCCTCAAACTAAAGAATTTTGATCCTTCTATGACAGTACTGACCTAGTTTATTCTGCTAATACCCGAATAATGGGAGCCTCCGCTTACTAATAAAAAACCCAAATCTCTTGCGTAAGGCCAATGGGATGAATCCATCCAGGTTTCCTCTTCCTGTGAGAGAGCAGCAAGCAAGTGATACCATGGCCCAATCAGATCCCAGGTATGCAATGCTTCTACTACAAGGAATGCTCCAATAATTGCGGCTGTGACACTGACACGAGTGACGGAGTTAAGTCTGACTACAAAATAATAGCCCTCAAAATCATATCGAGGAGCATCTCCTTGGGACAATGTGTTACGATCTCAGATGAATCCTGGTATTTAGAGTAGCGTATTACAGAGTTTCAGGCGGAAAGCAGGAATGGAGCAGAGGAGAGACAGCAGAGCACGGGGGCCAGAAGTCAGAAGAAGCTTGCAGGAGGATGCAAAGTGTTTACAATCATCTTTCATGCCCTCTCGACTCACAACCGTTCTGTATATAAGACGCCGAGATCACGCCTTGGCCCATTCGTCGCCCGAGACACGCCGGTTAGGAATTCTGGGCCGACTGGACCTTCGTAGCTGCGTCCCATTCTCCCGCAGCGGCCTTCGTTCCTCTTCAGCTTCTGGTGCCGGACATACCACAGTAGGAGATCCAGGCGTAACATTCCCCCTTCCTTGCGCGCCGAGCCGGTCCCAGACGGCGGCGCGGGAAAACTGTTGCCGAAGAAACTCCAAGTCCTCCCAAGTAGCTAGAGACCTTGGCAGATTAGACCACTGAATCAAACCTTGAGAGATAGAGCGCGTACCCTTGGTGATGGATCTTGTCTGAAGAATCCGGTCAGGAATACTCCAAAGGACCGCCTCAGAAGGTGGATGACTGGTGACAGAATGATGAGCTCCCACCAACTTCTTGAGCTGTGAAACATGAAATATTGGGTGCACCGAAAAAGAAACCGGAAGTTCCAGTTTGTATGCCACCACTCCCACGCGAGCCATTATACGGAATGGTCCGAAGAATTTGAAGGCCAGCTTCTGATTGCTGCATGGAACCAAGGAAGATTGCACATAGGGCTGAATTTTAACGAAGACCAGATCACCAATCTGAAACTGTCGCTCGGACCGATGCTCATCAGCTTGCTTCTTCATGCGTTGCTTAGCGCGATTCAGATCCTGGCGGATCACCTCTGACATCAAGGCTCGGTCAGACAGCCAAGTATCCAAGTCAGGAATGTCGGTGCCTGAAGAACTGGCAATGCCAAAGTGGCACGGTGCATGACCATACAACACCTTAAAAGGAGAACGCCCCAAAGCTGAGTGCCAATTGGTGTTGTACCAGAACTCAGCTTGATCCAACCACTGTCGCCACTGATGTGGGCAAGCATGCACGAAGCAACGCAGGAACGTCTCCAGACATTGATTGACCCGTTCGGTTTGTCCATCCGATTGCGGATGATAAGCAGTACTCATCCGCAGCTCAACTCCAGCCAACTGA